TAATAGCTACTAGTATCCCTGATACTAACAGCTACTAGTATTCAGAATACTAACACCTTCTAGTATTAGTGATACTAACACCTTCTAGTATTAGTGATACTAACATCTACTAGTATTCGCGATACTAACCGCTGTTAGTATTCGTGATACTAACAGCTACTAGTATTCGCGATACTAACAGCTACCAGTATTCGCAATAATAACAGGTACTAGTATTCGTGATACGAACAGCTACTAGTATTCGTGATACTAACACCTACTAGTATTCGTGATACTAACTGCTACTAGTATTCTGGATACTAATATGTAATAGTATACGTGAAACTAACACCTACTAATATTCGCGATATTAACACCTACTAATATTCGTGATACTAACAAATACTAGTATTCATGATATTAGCAGCTACTAGTATTCCTGTCATTAACACTTATTAGTATTTCTGACACTAACAGCTACTAGTACTCGTGGTACTAACACCATAGCAATAAGAAAGGAAGACCTAGATTAAGCTTCATCCCTTTGAATCACAGTTGTTTTTCCTTAGATTGGTTACCTTTACTGTGCTAAGCCTTCTAGATAAAAATAATTCTGCAATGTCAAAATGTTTTTTAAAAATACATCTACACAGCTGTTGGCCAGCCACTATAAATATAAAAGAGTCATTGCAAACTCTATATTCTGTCAATGGTTGCATACTATGTACTAATCCAAGTCTACTGTTTTGAATTCAGAGTTATTTTAATCTAGTTGCCTTTACTGTGCTAAGCCTTTTGACTGAAGTTAGTTGTTCTGCTGTGTCAAATTGTTTTTAATAATTTCACACCAAAGAAGCTGGTAACTCCATTAGGACGCTAAGGCTTATAAGGAGGGAAAGAGAATTAGAAAGGCTTTACTAAGGAAGGATGAAGAAAGGACAATAAAGAAACAAGTTTCTGGAAGACAGAAGACGGCGGTTTACGTTGCATTTTAAATTTTTGAAGAAACAAGAAATCGAAAGGCAGTCCCTCACGTGAGAAGTGGGAGAAAAGAAATTGTTAGACGTAATTGTTGCATCTAGCAAGCTCAGCATTAAAACAGTGGGACGTTGTTGCCAAACTTGTAGCACGTTTAAATTTGTGAAGACGAAGCACCAAGGGGAAAAAATCTCCTGAGAAAATTTACCATAATAATATTTATAGAAAAGACAGAGGGAAGCCACGCCACATCGGTGAGAAAGTGACTGATGTCAGGATAGATTACATTACATATCCTTATTTGGATAGTTGTCAAGAATCTCCAGAGATACAGCCAGAACGCCATACCAAATATGGCAGCCATATTTAATGCACGGATTAACCGTAGATTTATAGACGGATTCTGATGAGAAAAATTATCTGTCACGGCACATTGAACCAAATTTCATGGTTGCAAACTTAGCAGTTGGTTTCGATAGTTACTGTAATTTATGTCAACAGAAACAGTGAGGGCGTTTGTGTTGTCAATAATAATATATAATAATAATTATAATATATGAACGTAATTTTAAGTAGTCCGCTGATGTGATTATAAAGTCATAGGTTACTTCATAATTTTATCGATAGTTGCCTAGTATCTGCTACACTAGGCCTTCAAACGGTATTATGAGTCATCTTTCTCGTAGACTGGTTGCTAGCCGGACTTTAGAGACGAGTCTGCATTCCGAACTTTTTCCGAGAGTTGTTGTGTGAAATCCTGGTCACCGGCTCGGAAACTGATTTATTGGAGATTGAACAGAGGCCATTTTAATCTCATATCCACCGACGATAACGTCTGCGCTAGTCACACGTTCTTTTTATGTAAGCATATCGACGTGAAATTTTGTTGAACGATATATAATCATTTTCTATCTGTTTTTTCTCTCCCATTATTTTTTACATTTTACGTTGTTCCTAAAATGTTATTCTCCTTCGGTGATCTTAGAACCCTGATCACAAGATGCATTTCGATATATCAAAAGCGGTAACTCGAGGCGGGGGTGAAGATCAAAGACATTGCACATCAATATTGAACACATTGTCACTGATTGCTACAGCTATAAATAGATTTCGTGCTGAGTAATTACATTCTTGATTCTGGAAGAACGGTTAACAGAAAACTCTTTTTGACCCATCTTTAAAATTCAATAATTACTGCTTGTCTTATATATATATATATATATATATATATATATATATATATATATATATATATATATTTATTTGAGAATGTATATATTTTTTTTAGCAATATATATATATATATATATATATATATATATATATAATATATTGCTAAGAGAAATATATATATATATTTCTAAGAGAAATATAGATATATATAGATATATTGCTAAGGGATATATATATATATATATATATATATATATATATATATATATATATATATATATATATATATATATATATATTTCTAAGAAATATATGTAAATATATCTTAGAAATATATATATCTATTTCTCTGAGAAATATATATTTTTTCTTAGTAATATATATATATTTCTCTTAGAAATATATAAACACACACACACACACATATATATATATATATAAATATATATATATATATATATATATACATAGGTAAAAGAAAACTATATACAGCCATTTTCACTTTAAGAATAAAACAATTAAGCATAATGAGCAATAGAGAAAAATGGGAGATCAGAGGTGTTGTAAGAATCTGAAATAAATGATCGATAAATAAATGATCGATATCATACATTTATAAAAAGATGAATAATTTCGGAGAAAAAAATTAAAATGCATTTAAAAAAGCTTAAAAGAGAAAACGTGATTAGAAGTTCTAGTGAGAAATAAAGAGAGAAATAAAGAGAGGAATAAAGAGAGAAATAAAGAGAGGAATAAAGAGAGGAATAAAGAGAAGGATAAAGAGAGAAATAAAGAGAGGAATAAAGAGAGGAATAAAGAGAGGGATAAAGGAACAAAGAGAGGGATATAGAAAGAGAGGAATAAAGACAGAAATAAAAGAGGAAGGAATAAAATAAAGAGAAATAAAGAGAGAAATAAAGAGAGGGAGAAAGAGAGGAATAAAGAGAGAAATAAAGAGAGGAATAAAGAGAGAAATAAAGAGAGGGATAAAGAGAGGGATAAAGACAGGAATAAAGAGAGGGATAAAGAGAGAAATAAAGAGAGGGATATAGAGAGGGATAAAGAGAGGAATAAAGACAGAAATAAAGAGAGGAATAAAGAGAGAAATAAAGAGAGGAATAAAGAGAGGGAGAATGAGAGAAATAAAGGGAGGAATAAAGAGAGAAATAAAGAGAAGGATAAAGAGAGAAATTAAGAGAGGGATAAAGAGAGGGATAAAGAGAAGGATAAAGAGAGAAATAAAGAGAGGAATAAAGAATTAAATAAAGAGAGGGATAAAGAGAGGGATAAAGAGAGGGATAAAGAGAGAAATAAAGAGAGAAATAAAGAGAGGGATAAAGAGAGGAATATTGAGAGAAATAAAGAGAGAAATAAAAAGAGGAATACAGAGAGGGATAAAGAGAGAATTAAAGAGAGGAATAAAAAGAGAGGGATAAAGTTGCCTCATGACACATCTGACCTACGCTTGGAAAATCACTACTGATCACATGGATTAGAACAACACAATATAACAATAGGATGCTTATGGCGCTTGGATGATCCAGAATTTTTTGATACTTGGATCCGGTGTTTTACAGCCCAAGCTAGGGCGAAAATATTGAAAGCCAACCAGTCAAGAGAGGCGGGGGTAATGAAATAACTGGCGTCTTTCTAGTTTCGGCAGGTTGTCAAGCTATAATGAAAATGGCTAACAGTAAAAATTCGTCGAAATTTCAGAAATTACATCAAAAAAGAGAAAACGCCTAATGGCAGATTCTGACCAATTGAGACCAAAAATGAAGCGGAAGACGTCGTGATGGAAGAAGACCTTGACGGAGAAGAAAGGTGTAGTTCTTCTGATCAGATAGAAAACGAGACTGTGGATGATAGCAGGAGGAAAGTGGTTCTGGAAGAATGCATTAAACTTCTTTGGTTCAGGAAGGTGTAGCGGATTCGTAAATAGGATACTGCCTATTTAGAATTGAAAAGATAAAAAGATTATAGTAAAGTAAGAGACAGCAAGATGTTGACCATCGATGACGTGTCGTTGAACGACACAATACAACAGAAATGAAACTTTTAAAAAAGACAGAAAGATTTGTCAAATCATAATCATCTACGCCATAAAAGGACCTGGCAGAAGAAAAAGACGCCTACTCCTAGTACTAGACGTAGTATTTTTTTCCCGGATTTTTTTCCCATCTCTTTCCTACTCGTTAAATAAGAAGCATGAATCGGAAATAAAAATTAAGACTTGGACAATATTTGAACGTACATTCTTTGCTCTTTCGGTCGCCTGATATCCAATTCCATTCACGTTCGAAGCTTGATTTTTATTTCCGAACCATGATTCTTATTTAACGGGGAGAAGAAAAGAAAAAAAAAAAAAAAAAAAAAAAAAAAGAAAAGTCACCAGCGTTTTTCGGAAGAAAGGCAAAAAAAAAAAAAGAAAAAAAAAAGAAATGGTAAAAAATTAGAGGTAAATATATTTGCTCAATTTAACGTTGGGTGTAAAATCATGCATTTTTAAATTATGTCTCATTCTATTCATATCTATCTATCTATCTATCTATCTATCTATATATATATATATATATATATATATATATATATATATATATAAAAATTAAAAGAAGAGAGAGCCGCCAAACGTTTTTTGGTTGTAATGTGGATTTATTTAGAAAAAAATATTATGCTTTGTTTTACATAAAAAACAAAACATTATGTTTATGTAAAACAAAGCATAATATTTTTTTTCTAAATAAAATCCACATTACAACTAAAAAAACGTTTGCGGCACCTCTCTTCTCTTCTTCTTTTAATATACATACTTTTCTCTCGTCTACAACATATTTCTTTTATATATATATATATATATATATATATTTAAGACTCTTATTTCTATTATCTCATCTTCATATCTATCTATCTATCTATCTATCTATCTATCTAAGGCTCATCATATGTATCTATCTAAGTCTCTTATCTATCTATCTATCTATCTATCTATCTATCTATCTATCTATCTATCTATCTATCTAAGGTCCTTCATAACTATCTGTCAACCAATCTAAAGCTGTTCATATCTATCTATCTATCTATCTATCTATCTATCTATATATCTATCTATATATATATATATATATATTTATTATCTATCTATCTATCTATCTATCTATCTATCTATCTATCTATCTATCTATCTAAGGCCCTTCATAACTATCTCTCTGTCAACCAATGTAAAGCTGTTCATATCTATCTATCTATCTATCTATCTATCTATCTCAGGCACTTCATGTCTATCGATCTCGATTTGTTCATGTCTGTCTCGCTGTCTTTCTCAAAATGAATCAATCAACCTCTTCAGTCGCCATAATGCCACGATGTCTCTATGATGTCTTAACTAATATCTCCATCTTTTCAATTTGTCTTTGGGTCACGGGGAAAGAAACAACTTTTAAAAATCTAACCCCAAAGAGGAAATGTCATGAAAATATAAAAGACTCACGGTGAAGATGACTGAAGCAATTTGATGTGGTGTAATGGTTAACAAGCTTCTTTCCCTAGTTCAAATACGACTGAATAGTGATTTCGATCCTTACTGGGTGCCCCATACATCTGACCTTGCGCCACATCTAATCTACACTTAGAATATAATTTGCGCACCTCGACGTGATGTAATGGTTAGCCATGATTGTGTCGCTAGAACAATTACGATAGAGCAATGAGTTCGATCCTCACTGGGAGGCCCATACTTCCGGCCACGTGACGCATTTAAGCTGCGCTTAGAAAATCACAAAAGTAAAGCTGACTGAAGCCGATATATCAGGTTATATGACCGTTATAATTGCAGATTCTTCTTTGGATTTTGTCAAAAATCTCGACATCTATAGAAGAAACAGATCTGCTGTGGCAGCTGTATCTGATGCATAAAAGAATGGTGTGTCATATCAAGATGCATTTTGATGAGAAAAAATTGCTTAGAACGACCCAGTAAGATAACTTTTGTAGCAACGATCCTAGCATTTGATTCAATATATTCTTTCTACTTTATGTCAACGGAGCTCGTGAATGAGCAATGAATCAGGAAATTAGCAATACTACTGTTTAATTTCAAACGAATTGAATAGATGTGCTTCCAGTGCGAACTGAGTGCCATACGCCTGTCACCTTGTGCTAAATTAGCTAATCAATAGTTGTAATTCAATATTGTTAGTTTCTTTGAGAGGATGCATTCTCTCGGTCACTATGACTTGTGACTTTGACGAAGGCAGTGGGAAGCTATATTACGACAGTTTTAGAAATCAGTGAAGCCGAAATTCCAGGACAGGACCAATAACAGATTCTTCTTTGGATATTATGAAGAATTTCTAAATATATAGCAGGAGCACCAGAGCAGATCTGACATCAATATTCAATTGATTTATGAATGGTAAACATATAAATGTGTAAGATAGATTCTGGCGAGAAATATTCTTTAGCACAACACAGGAAACCATCTTTACTTGCAGCAGACCTATCAATTAATTCAATAAAATATTTCAACTTTATGTTTAGCTAAAAACGTTAGTTTAAGAAGCTACGAGGAGTCATTCTCGTATAGGGTAGCATCAGTCATACCAATGGAAAGCAAAAAGGGTTCTCTCAGAAGATTAAATCTCGGCCTGTTCATTATATTGCATTTAAACTTTTCAAGATCAAAGATGATTGGGAAGCAAGACTAGGTAGCAAAGAGGAAATCTCATAAGAAAAATTATTTACAGAAAAAGAAAAAGGAAGCTATGTTACGCCGGTTGGAAAGCGTTTGGAATTGAAATGCCAGGTCAAGACCAATAATATTGCAGATACTTCTTTAGATTTTATCAAGAATCTCTAAATATATAGCAGGAGCACCAGATCGGATTTGACAGCAATATTTGACGAATGGTAGAGTTATAAAAATATAAAATAGATTCTGGCGAGAAAAATTTAGTACGACACAGAGAACGAAGTCTCTTAGCAGCGGACCTGTGGAGGATAGCATCACTCTACTAGCATCAAACGAATTAGATATGAGTTGGATTCTAACTGAATGACTTGCACATATGGTCGTGCGCTAAATAAGTTAATAGTCGTAATTCAATATTTTTACAATTTATCTGAGAGCAAGTATCATTTCGGTCGCGATTACTTGTAACTTCATGCTAGTACAAGCACTGATGAACAATTCCGTCTCTTCAATTCCACAAAGGTATGTGTGGTAAAGTTTTTAGGCACGTACCAGGGGTGCCGCACGGTGGCTACCTAGGCTGGTCTGGGTCTTAGGGTCCAAAAAGGACCGTTTTAGCAACTCAGCTATGCACCTTCACCAATAGCATGAGTATAATCCGACCAGAATATAAATAGTGTATAGGGGTGCATAGATTGTTCACAAATTGAATTTAATATTTTGTCTAATTAAAGTTGATAAAATTAAGAAATAAAGTCGGTTTAAAATATGGTTTAAATGGAAACAGAAATGACGCTTGTCATGAAATTTCGTTTCTTGATTCCAGGCTTTGGCTGAAACCAAAAAGTTATTCTAGTCACAAGAAGAAAAGCCATTTTCTCAGGGAGCCTTGTTATTTAGCTATAAAAACCTGGGGTTCTCTGGGATGTTAAATCTTAATTATATTTTTTTTTCATTTCTATTTTATCAGGATTTAGCGTTCGTCTAAAGCCTGGATACCGTCGGACTGGGCATGCACCATCGATCGTATGAACAATGAAGAAACCGGAAAGGAAGAAAGATCACCTAAATTGATTAACCCCGCCCATCCACGTGTATCTTCCTATGCATTAACAAATTCAATTTACTTTCCTTGCCTTCAATCTCACTCGACTCACGTATATTGTTAATCAGATTTCGTTAACTCCACCCGAGAAAGTGTACGACCGCCTACGCCTCCCATTTGCATGGTGACGACGACGGAAGCATACCATCTGGTTCAAGACTTGACATTTAAACCAGTTTGTTAAATGAAGTTTTACAAGTACTCAAATGCACTGACCTTGACACATACGCTTAAACCATAACCTAGTCTAGGCGCTCTTTAGAAAAAAAAATACTAGATAGCCATTTCAAACTGTCTACCTCAGTGTGTTAGGTCCTTTTCAGCTGTGGGCAAATCATGGTTCACCGTAGTTACCTATTTTAGTGCTCAACACATTTACACTCACGATTTTAGTTCTCAGCACCGTTACAATCCCGATTTTAGTTATCAGCAATTTTACAATCCCCATTTTAGTGCTCAGCACATTTACAATCCCGATTTTAGTTCCCAGCACCTTTCCAATTCCGATTTTAATTCTCAGCGATTTTACAATCCCCATTTTTGTGCTCAGCACATTTACAATCCCGATTTTAGTTCTCAGTAGCTTTCCAATTCCGATTTTAGTACCCAGAAACATAACAATCCCGATTTTAGTGCTCAGAAACTTTACAATCCCGATTTTAGTTCTTAGCAACTTACAATCCCGAATTTAGTGCTCAGCACCTTTACAATCCCGATTTTAGTTCTTACTACCTTTCCAATCTCGATTTTAGTTTCCAGCAATATTACAATCCCGATTTTAGTTCTCAGCACCTTTTCAATAACGATTTTAGTTCCCAGCAACATTAAAATCCCGATGTTAGTGCTCATCACCTTTACACTCCCGATTTTAGTGCTCAGCACCTTTACAATCCCGATTTGAGTTTTTAGCAACATTACAATCCCGATTAAAGATCTCAGCAACTTTACAATCCCAATTTTAGTGCTCAGCACTTTTACAATCCCTATTTTAGTTTTGAGCACCTTTAAAATCCGATTTTAGTGCTGAGCAACTTTACAATTACAATTTTAGTTCTCAGGACATTTACAATCCCTATTTTAGTGCTCGGCACCTTTTAAATCCAGATTTTGGTTTTCATCACCTTTACACTCCCGACTTTAGTGCTCAGCACCATTACAATCCCGATTTTAATGCTCAGCACCTTTACAATCCCGATTTTAGTACTCAGCACCATTACACTCCCGATTTTAGGGCTCAGCACCTTTACAATCCCGATTTTAGTTCTTACTACCTTTCCAATCTCGATTTTTAGTTACTCAGCACCATTACAATCCCGATTTTAGTTCTCAGCACCTTTACAACGATTTTAGTCAGCACCATTACAATCCGATTTTAGTTCAGCACCATTAAATCCTGATTTTAGTGCTCATCACCCGATTTTTACACTCCTGATTTTAGTGCTCAGCACCTTTACAATCCCGATTTGAGCACCTTTACAATTTTTAGCAACATTACAATCCCGATTAAAAGATTTTCTCAGCAACTTTATTTTAATCCCAATTTTAGTGCTCAGCACCTTTACAATCCAATCCTGATTTTATTTTACAAGTTTTGAGCACCTTTAAAATCCGATTTTAGTGCTCAGCACCAGCAATCCTGATTTTTTACAATTACAATTTTAGTTCTCAGGACATTTACAATCCCTATTTTAGGGCTCAACACCATTACAATCCCGATTTTAGTACTCAGCACCACCTTTTAAATCTCAGATTTTGGTTTTCATCACCTTTACAATCCCGATTTTAGGGCTCAGCACCATTACAATCCCGATTTTAGTACTCAGCACCATTACAATCCCGATTTTAGTACTCAGCACCTTTACAATCCCGATTTTAGGGCTCAGCACCATTACAATCCCGATTTTAGTTCTTACTACCTTTCCAATCTCGATTTTAGGGTTTCCAGCACCATTACAATCCCGATTTTAGTTCTCAGCACCTTTTCAATAACGATTTTAGTTCCCAGCAACATTAAAATCCCGATTTTAGGGCTCATCAACCGATTTTACACTCCAATCCCGATTTTAGGGCTCAGCACCATTACAATCCCGATTTTAGTACTCAGCACCATTTCCCGAATCCAATCCCGATTTTAGGGCTCAGCATTTACAAGATTTTTACTCAACATTACAATCCCGATTTTAGTACTCAGCACCTTTACAATCGATTTTTAAAGATCTCAGCACCTTTACAATCCCGATTTTAGTGCTCAGCACTTTTACAATCCCGATTATTTTAGATTTTGAGCACCTTTAAAATCCCGATTTTAGTACTCAGCACCTTTTACAATCCCAATTTTAGTTCTCAGCAATTACAAATTTTAGTTCTCAGCACCATTACAATCCCGATTTTAGTGCTCAGCACCTTTACAATCCTGGGATTTTGAGGGCCATAGCCAAGATTTTGGCACCTTTTTCGATTTTAGTACTCAGCACCTTTACAATCCCGATTTTAGGGCTCAGCACCATTACAATCCCGATTTTAGTACTCAGCACCATTACAATCCCGATTTTA